ACTTTATTTCAAGTACCACTTACCTAATGGGAAATGGAAATGTCCCTGGGCAGTTGCATCCTGTTTGGTCCATATAAAAGGATTTCAGTCCTTTTCTTACATGAAAACTTCATGGACTGAAACACCAGCTTGATTCTGGAACAAAAAGGCTCAGTCTCAGGATCAACTGAGATTCGTAGGATCTACCGAGAGATCCATTCTGGAGAGTAAAACTTCTTCATATTTTATGGAATTTATCCAACATTTATGTAGCACCTGCTTAGTGCCAGTGACTATGTGAGTCATCAAAGTTATAACTCTAAATAAGATATGTAATTTCTCACACCTTAACTAAGCATAGTTTAAATAAGCTGGGAAATCTATGCAAATAAATATAATAAAGTTAGTATAAATTATGAAGAATCTTAATGAATGCAATCTGGGCTCCAAAGAGTGATTAGTTCTTCTTGGGTTGGCAGTTAAACTCAGGTGAATTTTAAATGAAAAGAGACAATGGGCTGGGCGCAGTGGCTCACGCCTGTAATCCCAGCACTTTGGGAGGCCAAGGTGGGCAGATCACCTGAGGTCGGGAGTTCGAGACCAGCCTGACCAACATGGAGAAAACCATTCTCTACTAAAAATATAAAATTAGCCAGGTGTGGTGGCGCATGTCTTTAATTCCAGCTAACTTGGGAGGCTGAGGCAGGAGAATCGTTTGAACCCGGGAGGCGGAGGTTGCCGTGAGCCGAGATCCCGCCATTGTACTCCAGCCTGGGCAACAAGAGCAAAACTCCATCTCAAAAAAAAAAAAAAAAAAGTAAAGAGACAATGTAGCTGTGTTAAAAGATAGTTAAATATTTGCCAAACAAATGAGGGGGATTCTAGTAGGACTCCCAAGGGGAGGAATACTGGATTTGAGAAAACAAACACAGCATGGCGATACAACTTGACTGATTTATTAAGAGTAATTAAGTCAATCAGCATTATTAGACATGGAGATTAGCATAGGGTTGGAGAAGCCACAACAATAGATGATACTGGAATGGCAGTCAGAAAGCATTGTGAAGACATTACTTGCCATCTTAGGATGCCTTTTGTGCATCATTGCATAATCAGTTAAGTCAATAAAGAGTTAAAAGCTAAATTAATGTTACAGGATGTGATTTACATCACCATTTATCCTGGCAACAGCATTGAAGTTGTATTAGAGTCACATAAAACTGAAGAATAAAATATTGCCAGAGATAATGAAGGTTTGAACTAATCTGTACGTGTGACAGCTCTTGCTGTGATAAGTACAACAGACAGTAGTAAGCAAATAAAACTTTGACGTTTGATGGGATCTGCAGATTAAAGCAAGGTAACAGTGACGGGGAGTCGGCCGGAAGAAGAGATGAGTTCTCACAGGAGATACCCATTCAGGGGTAGCAATGCCCGAACCATGTAGGATATGAGGATCTGGAGCCAGAAGACCTATGGCAGTGCTTGAAACAGCCGACTATTATTTTCTATTGCGTAGGGAAATAATTAATCTATCTTCTTTAAAAGGCACTTACGAGAATATTTTGGAGTAAACAATGTACAGAAAGGAAGTCTCAGGACATATTTTTGGAAACCATCAAATTTCAATAAATATTAACAGAAGACAGATTAAGAGACTAGGAAAAAATATTCAGAGAAGAAATAGAAAACCAGAACCAACGGCCAGGCGCGGTGGCTCACACATGTAATTCCCAGCACTTTGGGAGGCCGAGGCAGGTGGATCACGAGGTCAAGAGATCGAGACCATCTTGGTCAGCAAGGTGAAACCCCGTCTGTACTAAAAATACAAAAATTAGCTGGGCATGGTGGCGCGTGCCTGTAATCCCAGCTACTTAGGAGGCTGAGGCAGGAGAATTGCGTGAACCCAGGAGGCGGAGGTTGCCGTGAGCCGAGATTGCGCCATTGCACTCCAGCCCGGGTAACAAGAGCGAAACTCCGTCTCAAGAAAGAAAGAAAACCAGAATCAAGTGGCATCATAGAACCAACGGAAGTGAGCTGTTTTAGAAGAAGTAACTATACAATAGTGTCATATATTTGAGAAAGAAATTTTAAAATATAAAGCAAAAGAAAGAGTGCATTGGATGTACCATTGTAACAGTTATTTGTGGATTTGCTGGAGCTGTTTGTGAGGACCCATGAAGCAAGCATGACAAACGTGGTTCAAAAATTGAACAAAATTTGCGAGGGCACAGAATGATACCCTGTTTTGCTCATAAAACATGGCTGTAAAGAGAAGGGAGATTATAAGAAAGTCCTAAGTGTGGAGTGAAGGCTTTTCTTTTTCTTTAAAATGGTTGAGTCTTAAGAATCTCTATCTATCTATCTATATCTATCATCTATCTGTCTATATATAATCTATCATCTATCAACAGAGCATAGTGAAACAATCTGATTGGTTCATTAAAAGTAATCTCAGCAAATCAACATTATTAGACTTTTTAGACATGGAGTTTGTGAGGACTTTAGGCACACACATACAAAGATACACACACACATAAGATGTGTGCTCTTGAGAGAGAGAGAGAGAGAGAGAGAGAGAGCGTGCACAACAAACACTATGGCAAAGATCCCCTTTGCGGTAGAGCAAGGCTGAGTCTGGGGTTAGTCACTGACTTGGAAAGGAAAAACGAGCTCTTTCTTTGAAATCCTAGAGTGGGTGGAATTAAATAATATCAGAGATAATTTCATTTGTAAACAGGTAGGAAACTGAGGGACTTAACCTGTAATGACCTACGTCTTCTCGTTGAAGTTACTGGCAATGCTACCTCCCAAGAAATAGAGGAAAGCAGTGAAGAAAAGACTTCGGATACTGGAATGAATTCGAGTTTACCTACATAACATACCTGCCCATGTACCCCTGGACGTAAAAGAGAACTACTTTTTAAAAAATTGAGGGGTTCAACATATGAGAGTTAAAAAACGAACGAAGCTTAGAAATGGTTTGTAGGATAAAATTTGCATTTGAGTGGTTAGTGAGGAGAAAGAAAATGCGTGGGGGAAACAAATCACATTGAAAGAATCATACTCTCCACTAAAAATGTTTAGTTTTACTCTAAAATAAGATATTGAATCCTGGTGTGACTTGGGAGAACTGAAGACAGGCTTTATTTGCTCTCATGCCATCATCCTTAATTCTAAGTGTATCTCCACACGCACATGGTTCCCTTCCTTCAATTTGATGAGTGATGAATTAATACAGTTTGCAACTGGTGAAATTAAAATGAAATTTTCCATGTATTAATCAGATATAAAAATTATGCTCTATGTCTTCAAAGAAAACAAAAATAAAAATATGTTGTTGGGAGTTGTTGAAAGCAGAATATGGTGTGTATGTTCAAGTTTTTTTCTTTTTTTCTTTTTGAGACGGAGTGTCGCTCTTGTTACCCAGGCTGGAGTGCAATGGCGCGATCTCGGCTCACCGCAACCTCCGCTGCCTGGGTTCAGGCAATTCTCCTGCCTCAGCCTCCTGAGTAGCTGGGATTACAGGCACGCGCCACCGTGCCCAGCTAATTTTTTGTATTTTTAGCAGAGATGGGGTTTTACCATGTTGACCAGGATGGTCTCGATCTCTTGACCTCGTGATCCACCCGCCTCAGCCTCCCAAAGTGCTGGGATTACAGGCGTGAGCCACCGTGCCCAGCTATGCTTTTGATTTTCAAGCCAGAGACAGTAAGTTTTAAAATGTAAGTGGATTGCTTTAGTCTATTCACATTTTATTCTAAATTCCAAAACTACCATTCAAAATTTGGAGCAAGTTAAGCCAGACATTAAGATTTGCAGCAATGGGGATTAAGCCATACCTAATGGAGGACCAGAAAAACTGAAGGAGCAAGAAAGCCAAAGAAACTTTGAAGAAAGTAAGCCCTGCTTTCCTCTGATTCCTGCTGCCATGAAGCAGGGGATGTGACTATTGGTGATGTATTCAGGACCCTTCTAGCCCTGAGACTGTTCTTTGTAGGAAAAAAAAAAGTTTCCTAAAAATTAGTTTCAGTCAGTTCTCAAAATAAATTACAGCAAAACCAAAAAGATCTTGGTTTAAGTGATTTTTAACCTTTTTCTACAGCTTAGGATTTATAAGTGAAAGAAATTACAACGTCAGGTGGAGTAACTTCAAAATCAGATGCAGTAACTCATGTAACTTGGTCATTAAGTTTTTTTTGTCATTAAGTTTTTATCTGTATAGTACTCAAATAAAATATGTAGATATCCCATTAAATAAGTATTTACTTAGTACCCATCTGATAGTTACCATTGGTCAGGGTGAAGAAATGGACAGAAATGATGAAGGAATGGTCTTTGTGTAAAAGAAACTCAGTGAAAATGATACTGATTGACCTTTCAACAAATCCAAAGATTTAAAAAGAAAACAAAGAGGCAAAAATTAGTTAGCAGAGTGATTCTGATACACAAAACGATTCTATGATGATGATGACTCTACAATAATAGCATATTTAAAATGCAGTAGGAGAACTTACATCATTTAATCCTCCTAACAATTGTTACATCTGGTATAGAGGTTTTGTTTGCTTGGCTGGTGATTTTAAGAAATGGGCACCCACTATCTATTTCAAGTCCTAGAGAGAAAAAATATTGTTTTTTCTCATTAGGGAAGTCACAATGAGACACAGCACTAGAAAGGTATATACTCTACTACCTAGCATTCTGCCTGTCACATAGATTTTAGCAAATCTCTTTATTTCTTCAAATGGATTTGATTGAAAATGTCCAACCCCAAGTTGTAATGAAGATTTTGAGAATTAAACGTTCTCTGATGGTGAACTTACGTCACTTAGTTGCAAGATCTCCAAAGCTCAGGATTCAATGCCTGATATCCGTGGCATCTGAGCCATTTTATTTTTCAAAATTTCTATGGAAACTTTATTACAACCAAATGTAATCTTTTTAAAATGTTAAGAGCTTTTCAGAGGAAAGAATATGACTCTTCTTTGAGCTAACCACTCTTCCAGAGTTGCCTCCGAGCTGTTTCTAGATCCATTTGCAAGGTGATATCAATAACTTCTTATTAGCTGGTTAGCAAAAGAAGCTATTTAGTGCATCATTGTAATACGAAGGCATCGCATAGATGTAATGAGATTGGTATGCCAGGATGCTTTTCTTTGACTTTATTGAAGGTAAAGACGTTATCATTTCCATCCATTTCTCCCTCTTTGACAACCCAAACTCTGCTCCAGAAAATGTTCATGACTTGTTTATCATATTTAGGGATTCTATTTCTGAATAACTGCGAAAACTTTTTTGAATTGATTATTAACTAATCACAGTGGAGATAAATTCATCTCACGTCAGTCCCTCCATGCTGAGGAATTGAGCTACTTGACACAGAGATATATTAGACGTCATGCATTCTCTTCCTACTGTTTTTGGCTTCCTAAACAGAGTCACACTTGGTATCTTCAAAGAGACTATGGTCAGCTTGACTTCGGTGAGTGGATTCCTCCTCATGGGGTTTTCTGATGAGCGTTAAGCTTCAGATTTTTCATGCATTGCTGTTTTTGATGACACACCTGCTGGCCTTGACAGTATGATAATGACCTCTTCATTATCACTGTAATTACCTTGGAGCATGGTCTCTACTCCCCCATGTATTGCTTTTTAAAGCACTTCTCTCTTCCGGGCCTCTGTTTCATCTCTGTCACAGTACCCCAGTCCATTGCAAATTCACCTATCGGCAACAGTTACATTTCTCTTGTTCAGTGCATAGCTCTGGCCTCATCAGAAGTAGCCATTCTCACAGTGTCATTCTCTTATGACAGGTACACAGCGATCGGTCAGCCACTTCTCTGTGAGGTCGTTATGGATCTCAGTGCCTGTAGGCATGCAGTGATAGCTGTGTGGATTGCGGGGGGCCTCTCTGGGCTCATACATGCTTACATTAACTTCTCCAAACCTCTCTGTGGGGAGAGCCATTCACCGATTCACCAACCTGTGATGTTCCTCAGCTGCTGAAACGAACCTGTTTTTAAGGAATTCATTCATGAGATTGCACTGGCTGGGCTCACAACCTTTACAGAGTTTATCTGTTTGATCTCCATTGTGCTCTCCCACGTTCACATCTCCTCTGCAGTGCTGAGAATCCCATCAGCTGAGGACCTGACCAAGGGCTTCGCCACCTGCCCACCACGCCTGTTTGTAGTTACCTTCTTTTTTTCAGCTGCAGGTTTTGAGTTTCTCAGACCCCCTTCGGATTCCTCTTCGGCTATGGACCTCATGTTCTCTGTATTCTACACTGTGATACCTCCAGCATTCAATCCAGTCATCTATAGCTTACGGAATGCCACCATGAAGGCAGCACTGAGGAAGGTGCTGTCAAAGGAAGGGCTTGCTCAGAGAAAGATGTGTTTAAAAGCCATGTTTAAACTCGAAAGAACCATACAAATAAAAGGCATTGTTATTATGTTTCACATTGGAAGAGGGGTGAATTTTATTTCTTCCCAGAATGCTCTTCCAAGCTGTCTATTATATATATGCCTCTCAAATACAATTCTTTAAAATTGAAGATATTTTGCTTTTAAGAATATTGATTTTTCTTCCTCCCTTCAATGCAAGTGTTATTTTAAGTCATCTCTGGGAAATTTTTCTGAAATGAAGGAGAAAGACAATTAGTTTGGAGTCTGGCCTGTTTAATTTAAAATTCCTTATTAACAAATAGCAGATGATGAAGCTAACTGGGCTAACATGATGGTGCATGTGTGGTGTTTCTGGTGGGCCTCCTAGTTCCCTATCCGTATTAAGTATTCATATTAAGTTCTTTTGCTATTATTACAGTGCTGATTTCAACAATTTATTCAGCCCCTCGTATCAGGTGCTTTATACACATTTTTTTTCTTTTGACTCAAGAAAACAACTCTTCTAGCTACGCCATATTGTCTCCATTTTGCCAATGGGAACAATAAATTTAGGAAAGATTAATTTTCCTGAGATTTCTCAAATAAATAGTAGTTAAGCTGTGATTTAAATTAATATTTGTCTGACTCAAAGGTCATTTATGTTCCTTACTCATGGCAAATGCTTTATTACCCAAATAACAGTGTGTGTGTGTGTGTGTGTGTGTGTATAAAATCTATAAATATAAGCATATACTCATAATCTATTAATACAATTGTCATCACCCTTGTGTATCCCCATTACTGGTGATATTTATATGAATTCCTTCATTTTTCTGATTTGTACAAGAGTTTTACAAGTTGATTTTACAAAGTTAGTCAGGAGATTCCCCCTAGTTCCTTAAAACAGAATATAGATAAATTACAAATGAAGAGATCAAACCTATGAATGTGTGAGATAAGGAGTCATATATTTTGTGACTCTGAATATCTGATTCATCTTTGTGTAATGCTTCAAATTTCTTTAAGAAAGACTCATAATTTACAAGAGTACAAAACTGGACCAGTCCCTTCAGTTTTGAAGTAAATCAAAGTATATGTTTTAATGACCAAAGGAATGAGGAATTGCTCAGTAATGAGGAATGTCTTTATATGACTTTTTTGAATTAATGGTTATAATATCTACACATGTATATACCTGAGTGAGGTTTTTTTTTCATTTTTGAAGGTCAAGCATTTCTTCTCTTCCAGTATAAAATTGGAATTGGTAACAAAAATTATTAGTGCCATATTTTGCGGGCCTGGACCTTGGTAAATAAATATTATTCTTTCCTTATGTATGTATTTTAAAAAGAATGTAGTATTTAAACAAATTACCTATTATTTATAGAAAATTCTAAAGTTAAGCAAAAAATTTAAATGTAAACCACAAATCCATTGCAACTAATAACCTATTACATAGACTTTTATATATTTTTCTATTGATATATATTTATGTATAAACATTATACTGTATACTGTATTGGAATCTGACTGTACATAATGATTGATAAGTTCTTTTGTTGTTAAATAATGTCACAAGCTGTTTCTGTATAAATATGTAAAGTTATGTTAATGGTTGTACCTTAACCTGTCTCCTGTTTAAAATGTTTCTCTTTTTATTGTTGTTATTCTAAAGAATACTTTGATGAACACCTTAGTCCATGGACATATCTGTACATGTATATTATGAACTTTCGAGGATACATTCCCAGTAGTAGAATTACCTCTTCTCCTTCTCACATCTCCTACACAGGTTCAACATATCATTGCATCTCCCTGGGTGCCCATTGATTTCGCTGATTTTTCTACTCTAAAACACCGAAACTTCTATATAACGTATTAATACTAACATTTAATTACATGGAATATTTTTCTCTCACAGAGGGAATTTTAAAATTTTAAGGGAAAGAGACAAAATTGTACTAAATAATAACGAATGCTGTAGAATTTCTTACTCATTTGAATAATTCTGAGTTAGACTTAAGAGGGAAAATATTCCCGATGCCCAGGCCAATATAATGTACTTGCAAAGAATGTATTTGCAAAGAATGTCCTTACTCAACCAAGATAAGCAACCCAAAGATTGCCAACTGAGAAGAAAGAAAAATGTTTGCAGTTAATTGACAGATTAACCCTAGGGGGCCATACCTCTCAGTCATCAGATTGTTACTGGCAATTTCTCAAATTTGCTCTTCGTTCACATATTTGCTTCTTAATTTCCAATTTTGTCATCTCAGTAAATAGCTCTTCTGTCCATCCAGTTTTTCAAGTCAGATTCTTGAATATTTCCTTTTATCCAACCTTCCATTGCTAATCAATCAGCAAATATTATTGATTACATCTTTTTTTTTCTTATCCTCATTTCTTTTTTTTTTTAATTTTAGGTTTGGGGCTACATGTGCAGAACATACAAGCTAGTTGCATAGATACACATGTGGCAGTGTGATTTGCTGCCTTCCTCCCCTTCACCCACATCTGGCATTTCTCCCCATGCTATCTCTCCCCAACTCCCCCCCCGCCGCTGTCCCTTCCCTATTCCCCCCAACAGACCCCAGTGTGTAGTACTCCCCTCTCTGTGTCCATGTGTTCTAATTGTTCATCACCTGCCTAGGAGTGAGAACATGCGGTATTTCATTTTCTGTTCTTGTGTCAGTTTGCTGAGAATGATGGTCTCCAGGTTCATCCATGTCCCTACAAAGGACACGAACTCATCATTTTTGATTGCTGCATAATATTCCATGGTGTATATGTGCCACATTTTCCCAGTCCAGTCTATCATCGATGGGCATTTTGGTTGATTCCAGGTCTTTGCTATTGTAAACAGTGCTGCAATGAACATTCGTGTGCATGTGTCCTTATAGTAGAACAATTTATAGTCCTTTGGATATATACCAAGTAATGGGATTGCTGGGTCAAATGCAATTACTATTTCTAGGTCCTTGAGGAATCGCCACACTGTCTTCCACAATGGTTGAACTAATTTACACTCCCACCAGCAGTGTAAAACTGTTCCTATTTCTCCACATCCTCTCCAGCATCTGTTGTCTCCAGATTTTTTAATGATCGCCATTCTAACTGGCGTGAGATGGTATCTCAATGTAGTTTTGATTTGCATTTCTCTGATGGCCAGTGATGATGAGCATTTTTTCATATGTTTGTTGGCCTCATGTATGTCTTCTTTTGTAAAGTGTCTGTTCATATCCTTTGCCCATTTTTGAATGGGCTCGTTTGTTTTTTTCTTGTAAATCTGTTTTAGTTCTTTGTAAATTCTGTATATCAGCCCTTTGTCAGATGGGTAAACTGCAAAAATTTTTTCCCATTCTGTTGGTTGCTGATTCACTCTAATGACTGTTTCTTTTACCGTGCAGAAGCTGTGGAGATTGATTAGGTCCCATTTGTCTATTTTGGCTTTTGTTGCCAATGCTTTTGGTGTTTTGGTCATGAAGTTCTTGCCTACTCCTATGTTCTGAATGGTTTTGCCTAGATTTTCTTCTAGGGTTTTTATGGTGCCAGGTCTTATGTTTAAGTCTTTAATCCATCTGGAGTTAATTTTAGTGTAAGGTATCAGGAAGGGGTCCAGTTTCTGCTTTCTGCACATGGCTAGCCAGTTTTCCCAACACCATTTATTAAACAGGGAATCCTTTCCCCATTGCTTGTTTTTGTCAGGTTTATCAAAGATTGTATGGTTGTAGATATGTTGTGTTGCCTCCGGTGCCTCTGTTCTGTTCCATTGGTCTATATCTCTGTTTTGGTACCAGTACCATGCTGTTTTGATTACTATAGCCTTGTAGTATAGTTTGAAGTCCGGTAGTGTGATGCCTCCTGCTGTGTTCTTTTTGCTTAGAATTGACTTGGCTATGCGGGCTCTCTTTTGGTTCCATATGAAGTTTAAAATGGTTTTTTCCAGTTCTGTGAAGAAGGTCATTGGTAGCTTGATGGGGATAGCATTGAATCTGTAAATTACTTTGGGCAATATAGCCATTTTCACGATATTGATTCTTCTTAACCATGAACATGGAATATTTCTCTATCTGTTTGTGTACTCTCTTATTTCATTGAGCAGTGGTTTGTAGTTCTCCTTGAAGAGGTCCTTTACGTTCCTTGTGAGTTGTATTCCTAGGTATTTTATTCTTTTTGTAGCAATTGTGAATGGCAGTTCATTCTTGATTTGGCTCTCTTTAAGTCTGTTATTGGTGTATAGGAATGCTTGTGATTTTTGCATATTGATTTTTGTATCCTGAGACTTTGCTGAAGTTGCTTATCAGTTTCAGGAGTTTTTGGGCTGAGACAATGGGGTCTTGTAGATATACTATCATGTCGTCTGCAAATAGAGACAATTTGGCTTCCTCCTTTCCTATTTGAATACCCTTTATTTCTTTTTCTTGCCTGATTGCTCTAGCTAGAACTTCCAGTACTATATCGAATAGGAGTGGTGAGAGAGGGCATCCTTGTCTAGTGCCAGATTTCAAAGGGAATGCTTCCGGTTTTTGCCCATTCAGTATGATATTGGCTGTTGGTTTGTCATAAATACCTTTTATTATTTTGAGATACGTTACATTAATACCGAGTTTATTGAGGGTTTTTAGCATAAAGGGCTGTTGAATTTTGCCAAAGGCCTTCTCTGTGCCAATTGAAATAATCATGTGGTTTTTGTTTTTGGTTCTGTTTATGTGGTGAATTACGTTTATAGACTTGCATATGTTGAACCAGCCTTGCATCCCCAGGATGAATCCTACTTGATCATGGTGGATAAGCTTTTTGATGTGCTGTTGCAATCGGCTTGCCAGTATTTTATTGAAGATTTTTGCATCTATGTTCATCATGGATATTGGCCTGAAGTTTTCTTTTCTTCTTGAGTCTCTGCTGGGTTTTGGTATTAGGATGATGTTGGTCTCATTAAATGATTTGGGAAGGATTCCCTCTTTTTGGATTATTTGGAATAGTTTCAGAAGGAATGGTACCAGCTCCTCTTTGTGTGTCTGGTAGAATTTGGCTGCAAACCCATCTGGACCTGGGCTTTTTTTGTGTGGTAGGCTCTTAATTGCTGCCTCAATTTCAGATCTTGTTATCGGTCTATTCATAGTTTCGACTTCTTCCTGGTTTAGGCTTGGGAGGACACAGGAGTCCAGGAATTTATCCATTACTTCCAGGTTTACTAGTTTATGTGCATAGAGTTGTTTGTAATATTCTCTGATGATGGTTTGAATTCCTTTTTTTTTTGAGAAGGAGTTTCACTCTTGTTACCCAGGCTGGAGTGCAATGGCGCGATCTTGGCTCACTGCAACCTCTGCCTCCTGGGTTCAGGCAATTCTCCTGCCTCAGCCTCCCAAGTAGCTGTGATTTACCGGCACACGCCACCATGCCCAGCTAATTTTTTGTATCTCTAGTAGAGATGGGGTTTCACCATGTTGACCAGGATGGTCTCAATCTCTTGACCTCAGGATCCACCCGCCTCGGCCTCCCAAAGTGCTGGGATTACAGGCTTGAGCCACCGCGCCCAGCCGATGGTTTGAATTTCTATGGAATCTGTGGTGATTTCCCCTTTATCATTTTTTATTGTATCTATTTGGTTATTCTCTCTTTTCTTTTTTATCAATCTGGTTAGTGGTCTGTCTATTTTGTTGATCTTTTCAAAAAACCAGCTCTTGGATTTTTTGAAGGGTTTTTCGTGTCTCAATCTCCTTCAGTTCTGCTCTGATCTTAGTTATTTCTTGTCTTCTGCTAGGTTTTGAGTTTTTTTGATCTTGCTCCTCTACCTCTTTCAATTTTGATGATAGGGTGTCAATTTTGGATCTCTCCACTCTTCTCAGGTGGGCACTTTAGCTATATATTTTTCTCTAGAGACTGCTTTAAATGTGTCCCAGAGATTCTAGTATGTTGTGTCTTTGTTCTCGTTGGTTTCAAAGAACTTCTTTATTTCTGCCTTCATTTCTTTGTTTATCCAGTCAACATTCAAGAGCCAGTTATTCAGTTTCCATGAAGCTGTACAGTTCTGAGTTAGTTTCTGAATTCTGAGTTTTAACTTGATTGCACTGTGGTCTGAGAGACTGTTTGTTATAATTTCAGTTGTTTTGCATTTGCTGAGGAGTGATTTACTTCCAATTATGTGGTCAATTTTAGAGTAGGTGTGATGTGGTGCTGAGAAGAATGTATATCCTGTGGATTTGGGGTGGAGAGTTCTGTAAAGGTCTATCAGGTTTGCTTGTTTCAGGTCTGAGTTCAAGCCCTGGATATCCTTGTTAATTTTCTGTCTGGTTGA